ATACAACTGCAACGAAAGTAACACAAACAATTATGTTAAAGTATTATGATACTGTACTGATATTTTCCGACTTTGTTCTTTACTTTCTCCGTCTTTATATGTAGAAGATATTAAGTTTTCTCCGTCATGTTGTTTCCATAGCAACAACAACTTCCTCGCCTTCAAAATAATATATTATATCCTTTTTAGTTTCACAGAACACAAATTGGGTTATTTACATAACATGTTTACATGATTTTGTTGTGCAATAAAACAACCAGATGGACACACGATAAAGGAAATGTTCAAATTCGGGTCTGATCGTAACAACATCGGGACATTCGGGCCAAAGATTTTGCCACCGCTCACGAAGTTGCTGCCGGAGCCTGAGAAACTCCACCGGCGGTCATACGATGGCTTAACATTCCCTCGCGAATGCCTTACGAAGGGCAAAATGGACACACGAAGTCAACACGAAAATGAACCTTCACGGTCCTTCAGCAATGCTTTGTGATGCCAAAGATTTTGCCACCGCTCACGAAGTTGCTGCCGGAGCCTGAGAAACTCCACCGGCGGTCATACGATGGCTGAAGATGCCCTCACGAATGGCCCGATGTTGTTACGATCAGAGCCGAATTTGAACATTTCCTTAATCGTGTGTCCATCGGGTGTCAATTTCGGGACAGTGTGACAGGGGCTTAACCCGAGGATGTTTTCTCACTGAGGTTAGGGTGAAATCATTTTTGGAAAAGACCCGGGAGCTGATTGTTCTGGCTGCGTGGGGAACTGTATGAATACAGATGAAAACACGAGGCCAGATGAATTGATGACTGTGCTTTTAGACGGTGACAGTGCAGAAAGCGCTCAGATTTCCTGCAGTAATTTACCGATGATTACCACATGCTGCTTCCCTCGCCTCCTCGCAAAGGTTACCTCCACAAATCATTACAACTGTTATGAACACGACTGACTTTGGTGTGTGTTAATTATCGCGTTGCTTACTGCGGCATCAAACTGTTTATTGATGTGTGAGAGGAAACACATAAGCTACATTATTACGGTTTATATCTGCAGCACACAGTAAAAGTTATAATCCCTGACAGTGATATGGTCTATTTCTAAAAGATTTTCAGCTATCTGTCTCTTAATGTCCAGCAAAGATGGATATGAACAGTCTATTTGCATCATAAGTGCATTGATCTTGAATACAGACCATACAATAAAGGCAAACAGAGATATTTACTCCCTAAAATATGGAAATTATTACTCAGGTTTGAAGTGTACAGTATGAATCCAGCAGGTGCACCTTAACTTTGACTTGTGGTCTGTGCACACTGCAGAGTTAAGCCTATATATGTGATGGGTGTGTCTATAGCAGGTAATACTGGTTTCAAACATGTGATGGCAGCAGGTTCACTTTAATGTGAGGAACTCTTCAAACTAAATGTCATCTGTATGGACACATTTCAGCCACTGCATCATTCTGTGTCAGTAAAATGAAATTGAAATATTTAAATCTATTTTTTTTAACTTTTTGTTTATATATAAACATTTCTATTATAATTTATTATTTTATTAATATTTTTTTTTTAAAGATGTTCTTTTAACTTCTTATGTTTTTATATAAATATGTTTTTTTCTATTTGTTTTGTTCATTATTACTTTAACTTCTAATATTTTATTCAATTTATTTAATTTTCATCTTTAAATTGCACATTATTTACTTTCCTAACCTTTCATGTTTATATAAATATTTTTGCATTATTTTATTTCATACTTAAATGAAGCAACACAAGATATTTTTTTCCCTTAATTAATAAAGTGTACTGTTTCTGATTGATACTGATAAATATGATGTTGTCCTGATTTTACACATTTACGCTACAAATATACCACTCTATACTCATGTGCATTTAGACATAGCATAACATCTAAGTTATATTTTTTCCCTCTACAGCAGTATCTGATGTAGGTTATTAAGTTATACAGTATTTGGTAACATTCACAGTTTTTTTGTGTGTGTGTGTGTGTGTGTGTGTGTGTGTGTGTGTGTGTGTGTGTGTGTGTGACAGCCTGGCATCTATTCAGCGTAGCCTGTCAGCCGCAGACAGGAGGAGGAACATGTGTATCTGCAGCCACGAGGCCTCAGTGGGACGTGGATAATATCTGGAGCTGTCAGGGAGCTGTCAGTTACGCTGTGTTCGCTGTCATGTTTGGATTAACTGCTGTTGAAAATACTTGATGCACATTCATGTTACCTTTATGTATAGTAAAGAAAAATACCTGTTTATGAATTCTCCTGGGATTAAAGTACCAGGTTGTCCTAAAAAAGCGACGTACTTTTATGGATTTTGTCAGAATAAGAAACAGGTTTTTTGACAAGTTGGTGTACACAACCAAGAGATTGCTTTGGTGTATAATGGTGCATACTTTAATTCAGTATAAAGGGATTAAGTTGCTAAAAAATTACCATCTAAAAATGCAAAAATAAATGGCTACAATAAATAGAAATGGAAAAAAAACAACAAAAGAAAATACAAAATAAATTAAAATGTTAGTACAACAAATAACTCTATATATATTATTTGTGGATCTTCTACGGCGACCTTGAGAGCCTTGAAAGGTGCCTATAAGAATAAAATGATGTTATTGAATCAGTATATCTGAATTTAAATTGGAAAAGCTGTGCCGTCTTAAAATATTGTCAGTGATATGTGTTTCCTTTTTCCATTTGGGATTTATGGCTCTACAGTTCTTATTGAGCTACTGGTAATGAAAACAGTGTGAGTTAGTGTTGCTTCAGAGCCCAATTCTGTTTTCTTTTGGCCTGAAGTAGGAAAATATATTATATAACTATTATATTTGTGTGAAAGCTGCAACACTCAAAATATTTTCTCAGTTTCCCTTTGCACCGTTACATCGACAGTTGTTAGAATTTAGGGAAGGGATCTTGAATAAGAATCTAAATCTGAATATTTTTGACCCAAGGAGTATATTTATCAACGGAATAAACTTCTTCTGTTGGAATGCTTTTTTTTTTTTTTTAAAGCAATATGCTTTTAAGGCAAGATTAAAGTAGAGGATATTCAGGTGGAGCTGAAGCAGGTGATGCATCTTAAGAGACCGAAAATAAAACGCTGCCCCTGAAGAGAGAATGTAATTACATGGCTTGCATCCACTTTGCTTGATTAAAATGTTTTTCCAAGGCTTTTAGAGGAGGTGCTTGAAAGTGCTGGTGACTCAGGGACTAAATTCAGGAGAAATATAGCAGGTGCTTTTCATGAGCTGCCATTAAAATATGATGCTTATAAAAGTCCAAAATCAGATTTCCTCAAAAACCTTTGTGAATATATTGAGTGAGTGAGCAGCGTTTTTTAACAAAGCAGAATCAGTTGGGAAAACACTGAATGTCCTCTTCTAACATGAGAGTCCACATGATAACAAAGGTATCCCAACTGTAGCTGTGAACATGACAGGATGTGTGATTACCTAGAAGAGCATCAGGACTGTTTGAGGCATATGATAGCTATGTGATTAACATGATGATTCAGCCTCTATGGAGAGAGACATATGACAAGCATGATCATTTCTGACGTGGAGCTAATCTGAAGTAAACATTGAATACTGCTTTCTATTCCTCCATCTAGTGACTGTGGAACTCCCTCTCTTGGATATCAGCATGTGAAGGACACTGTTCAGGAACTAGTTGATGCTCTGTATGTGATGACTACTTCCATTCTGGAGAGGATCACAGATACATGGATCCTGAGATTCAAGCTCAAGACCGGACCAGGAGAAATATTAAAAGATGTTATGAGTATTCAAGAAACTATATATATATAATAATATATACGTAATATAAATATAATACAGATCCTCGCGGCTTGGCGAAGCAACATTGTGACTTCAACATAAAATAATTGTCTAGCATGAAGGATATATATTGATTGTAAAGGCATAACTCAATGACATAGCACTGTAGAGAATTTAGCCGCCCTTAGTAGCATCATATGGATAGACAGCTCATTTCTAGAACGAAGAAGTCGGCTTCTCACCACATGGTAACAAGTGTCCTGCATGCAGATGACAATTAATCACATAATAACATGCTGACAACATGTTACAAGCTAAAACATTAAAACAACTTAAAATCAAAAGTAGTATATCTCAAAGATCCATTAGAACACACTGCTGTTAACAAGCCAACCACAGATGTAACATCACTTTATAACTATACATAAACCCTGTGATCTATAACCTGATATACTTGTCTTGTAGCAGATCATGTTACTTTTAAAGCCATAGACGGCTGCCCTTTACTCGACAACTGGGTTGTGAGAGTTTTTTGGTAAGATTTAGCCGCGGCCTAATTAGACGATTTTAAGTAAAGGCATGCGGGCAGATGAAAGCATAGCAACAAAGGCTCTGGTTGTTTTAAAATGCGGGTGCGTTTCCGCATAAAATCAAAAATCAGCTGCCTAAAATCTCTAAAACGGCCTATCTCCTAAAAAATTCGCTTGAAACCTTGCAGTGCAAACGTCAGCGGTTAAGGATAGCTGGATACGGAGAGTATACATCAAAAGGAACGTTAGGCAGAAAGAGACTCGCGGTAAAGCTTTAGAGAAATCGCCGCAATGCACTTTCACGTATCCGACGTGTTTACTGATGGCGCCAGCGGTACGTCATTGTGTGCGTCTGGCTGCTGTGGGGAAAGCTAAGTGGACAAACATACACGTTGTTTCTACTTCAGCAGCAGACTAGCAAACATGGATGGTGCTTAAATAAGAACGAGGGACTCACTGTAAGACTCACTCGTAGCAGATCTGGCGCTGCACCGTGCTCTGATGCTGTTGTTTTTAAATGCGCTTTATGAACGTGGAAAACAACAGAGAAACATAATTCTTCATCGACCAAAGTTGGAATTTAAATTAAAAAAGAAGGAAAGTGACTTATGGCTCGTCACCTCTCTCGCCGTCCACATTAATCAGCAAATCGATCCTCCAATCGTGTGATTGTATGGAACAAGATCTTCAAAATCCAATACAAATGTGATTTAGTCTATAAAGCGTTAATCCGACTGCTAACATCTATCACCGT